GTGGTAGGAATGTAGCCCTTCCTCGGTATTTATTTGGTGCTTGGGAAAGTGTCAGTTATTGTGCTCTGAGTACCCCTGGAAGGCCCTGATTCGATTATGTCCAACACTTGTTCCTCTGTGTCTGGCACCCGAACATCTATCGTCCACTATCTTCCTGGAACCACTCTCTTCGCCCTTTGTAGGCGTGAGTTCTGTCAGCTTCTGCTATGTTGCTTACTAACATTTTCATTCAAAGTAATTCACAGAAAGAAATTCAAAGAAATTCAAAGTAAGTCACAGTTTGACAAATTATTGTTATTATTGACAAGGGCTATCCGCCTGTAACTATCAGTTAATGATAAAAAACATGATTGCCGCTGTGACTTTTTATCAAAAAATTGTAGAAGAGAACTTTTTTGATATAAAAAAGTGTCGTCTTTTGAAGCAAAGATCGTAATTTTTCTTTTTGAATGCTTAAGTATTCCGATATGCTACCAATTAAACATGGAACAATTTCAAAATAATGCTTAATAACAAAGTTGAAATTCGATCTTCAGCTGCTAATATCTTCTAGAAATTTTCAATATTTTTCTCGTGCTCCCCAAGGGAGCTTCTATCACCCCTTAAAAGAAATGACGCCAATTTTGAATCATCCTGTATTTTCGGTGCCCAAACTCCCTAACCCCGCAATATATTCCCAATTTTTTCCTGACCCACCACCTATGAGATAGCCTGCCACGCAATCCCAAGTATCCCCAAATTCTGATAAATCAGAAATTTTTCATATCTTGGATGAATTAAGAAATTAATTTTTTTAATTACCTAATTTAATTTTTTGTAACTTTTATTAATTTTTGTTTGTTTTTAATGTTGCTGTTAATCTCAATTTGTTCAATTTTAACTTTTATTAAATAATTCGTGCCATAATAAAATATTTGTACTTGTTTTTCGTTAAATAAAGATTGTAACCACTTAAGTAAAGTTAAAATACATAGTTTGTACGTACCTGAGAGTTACCATCAATCGCTCCGTTGATGAAATACTGCATGTCATTTGCGTATCGCTTCTACTAATTTTTTCTTCGATAATTTCATGAAGTTCATCAAATGACCGTATCGACATTCGAAAGGAATTAAAAAATTAGTCCGGGTGTTAATAATACAACAAATTAAAAACTCCTTTCGTTTGACGTTCTATAATAATTGGATGCACCCACATTCTGGCTTTCCTTCGCCTTTTTTTGCTTTAGGGTATAATACAGTAAAAGGGCTTCTTGGATGTCCATTACGTGACACGTTAATGTTGACTGTATTTAAGCGCCCGTCGCTGGACTGCGGATCACTCTATCAATCTACTGCGCATGAGAAGTTGTTAGTACGAACAAAGTCTGACAATAGCGACAATATAAATGGGTTTGAGATTCCAGTTTCCCACAAATCACCGGGCAACAATATCTTCATGTAAAGGAGCCCTTACACTGTCCGATGCGATTCCTCGGTCGCAGTCCGTATTTATGCACCGGTTGCGCTGACGTCGTTTTGATGACGTGGCCTGTGTTATCGGAGCCTGCGCACTCAGGCTGCTGTTGCTATCCTCCGGTGTAATGGATTCTCTCACCTGTCCTGAGCTGTTGCTTTTTCTTGCTGTTTTTGCGTTGGTGAGTGCTGGAAACCATATACTGTTTAGCGCCATTGTCTTTTCTTTTCTTTGTTGAAATTGTCGTCGTGTTTGTAGATTTCAATGGCTTCTCGTATTAGTCGGGGGCGATAGCCGGTTGTTGCGGCCAGAACCTGTGCCTCTCCGAAATAGATGTGTATTCCATCGCTGAGGGCATGTTCCGCCACTGCCAACTTTTCCACATGTCCCAGTTTACAATTTCGTCGGTTCTTCTATTCTTGTCGCAACCGATCTCTTAGTAGTTCCTATGTAGACGCTTGCACAGGAGCATGGAATCCGGTAGGTTTCTGCAGTTGCGAAAGGGGGTCTTCCGTCTTTAACTGAGCCTAGACATTCGCTGATCTTTGTTGTGGGCTTGTATACTGTTCTTATGTTGTGTTTCCTGAGGAACCTCGCAATTCTGTATTCCGCAACCCTGGGAAGAAAACTATTCAACAAGTGAATCATAATGGAAAACTTTTAGATTCCAAACTCGGTCAAATAGAAATTATAATTCAAAAAACCACTCAAAGAGAAAATTCTGCATAATAAAAGACGCTTGGAATCAAATGATCAACACTTATGAAGTAATCGACTCTATATTACAAGACATTGAAAATTCTATTACCTTTGCAAAAATAAAAGTACTACACCCAAGCATCTTGGATCACAAAATATGACAATTGAAGTAAATTTGCAAATGATCTCATTATTCCAAAAATTATTACGTCTAGAATGTTTCGTATTAAATAACAAAAAAACGTATCTGTTAAAAATTCCCCTTACATACCTTATGCAATTTAAGTACTATCATATATATTCAAACCCATCTGGAGGAAGGAGTCAATTTAAGGTTGTAATACCGCGAGCTAAGTTTCTTTTAAAAAATAAATTACACTACTCATATCGTAGTCAGGAATGTCAAAAGGTTGGCCAAAACTTTATATGCAATGAATCTGAACTAGAAACAATTAGTAACCAAACCCCATGCGTGACTCAATTATTGGAATCTAAGTAAAATCTGTCTAGCTGTCAATTGATAACAACGACAATCAACCAGCAAATCACAAGGCAACTAGATAACAATAACAATTGGATAGCCCTTCTACCCCCAGAAACCACCGTGCAGCAGATTTCCCAAAACCAACACGAAATCGAGAAACTACCGCGATCATACTTCATCGAAATTACATATAATGGCCAAATTATTATCAACCAGGATGTGATAAGGACTCAACACAAGCGAACCAATTCCCACAGCCAATCAGTGCTCTTTCCTGGTATCAATATAGAAGTAAGCGTTCCAGTCACTCTTAACCTAATCCAGCATATCCAGAATGCGAACCTGGATGAACTCTACACATTACAGCAAAAATTGTTCTTCAGCGGAGTGACAAAGTTCCCTAACTTTTGGACACTAAGATGTCTGTTTATATTAATCATAGGCCTTGGATTGTACTTGTCTAAACAAAAGTATAAAATTTGTACCAATATAGAACCATACCAAATAGAACTTCAAGAGGTCTAACTACCCTCGTAGACGATGGAGTCGAATCTTCGGAGGCAGGAGTTATGTGGCCTGTTCCCATGGATTTCGCTGTATCAGCAGCCAAGGAATACCGCCAGTCATCATTTATCAAGAAGTATTATGTATTTCTCATACCATTGAAATAATGTTTAATGAAATAAAGTCAGTCAGAGTAGATCCACACTTAAGTACACTTCTAACAGTTATTTAGTAATAAAATAAGTTTTTAAAAACGGTTTGCCATTCTTCGAACAGTAAACTAATGCCAATCTCTTATCAGTTCACTGGTGCTGCCTGAGCAGATTGTAATGTCATTGACCTCCCTTGGTACCGTTGTTACAAAGGTTGGATCATTCCCCTGATTACAGACTTCAAACGATGAAGTCGCAAGGTATTCTAAAAGAAACTCGCCCCCTCTATTGGTACCACTGCTGCCCCACAAAATGTGGTGCGCATTTGCGTCGCACCCAATGACAGTTCTGGTCTTAGAAGCGTTATAGTTGGGATGGTCGCTGGTCGAAAATTGTCTACTTTCATGCATAAGAGCGTAGCAGCTATGCTTCTTCATCTGGAATGTATATGACAAATTTGACCTAAAGTGGACTGAAGTGCTTCAGCTTTTAATTTTTATTGATTAGATACACTAATAATCTGATTCAAGAGCTTATAACATGTTTCGCATTGATCATTTTGCATCTTTGACCATCAGGACATTAAGAACTAGCTTTAAATATGGTAAGTAAAATGTCACCAGCTACCCAGGTAGCACGTCTTACGGATGTCTAAACGACGACATGAGATACGGCCAGAAGACGTCAGATAGCTGGTCATTTGGGCGTCCAAATGACCGCTACATGACACATTTGACAGACGTCTGCTTATTGACGTTACTTAAACGTCGGTTTTAGGTCCGTACATGGTCAGTACAATTACTTTATATTGAGAAAATGTTTTGGTTACAATAAGACACTATAGAATCTTAAATCGTATTTTATTGACAGGAAGCAAGCAAAGATGGTTACAACTTTAATTAATTGAAAGTAGTTCTGACCAGCCACAAAAATAATAATAAAAACCGGAGGACAGATAAAAAACTACTATTCTTACGAACCCGTTCAAAAGAAAACTCTTTTTATTCCAAAAGGCCTCCAATTGCTGCGAGCTTGGACTCCGTCAGTAAGAGCCTTTCTAAACGCTTTCCTCCCCTTAATAGGAGGTCACAGTACCTCTTGCTTAAGTGGTGTGAGCCAGTTCTGGTTGATTACTGCCAGGGTACTGCCCTCAAGTACGCCTAACTGTAACACCTGATATATTACAAGTATATCACAGTTTCACACCTGATAATCGGAAAGTAATACTACTTATATAACCTTCACAATTAAAAACCAATGTTCTATTCTTTTCAAATAAAATTATGCTTTTTGTTCTTCAAACGTTGGGTTACTTCTGTCGCTCCAAACCAGCCAGATCTTGTTTTTAAAAAGAAAGTTGAGGCGCAAAAGACAGTATATACCTACCTACATACATATATTGTCTCGGCACCTGGTTCGGAATAGACCACACACTGTTACCTATAAGCGTTCCACTATTTATCCCAGACCACGTCAAGAAAAGCTGGTACAACTATAAATACAATGTATAAATTAGTGGTACTTACCTTTGTGTGAAAAGTTTCGAATAATAATGAACTAACAGCCCATTAACAAATCACATAAAACAAGACAAGTACAAAGTACAAGTTCAGAATACCAGTCACGTCAAAGTGCCGGGGATCTGCGTTTTTAACCGAACTAATCTCCAAGATACTTGGCGCGAACAAATTGACAAGAAATAAATGACATAATAGACAAATAGACAATCACACAATTAATTTTACTTTAGACAGAGGGACAGCCGAGATTTATTGTTAATTTGTCTAATCATAGAGGTTGTTTGTAATTTATCTAATCTAATCTATCTAATCTTTAAAGATTATATTTCATATTATTAAATAAAGTATGTTGGTCTTTCTGGAAATAAGAAATAAATGAATTTTATGTCCTGACTATACAGTGTTGGGAACAGGATTTATCCTTAGGCAATGCTGACAGACAGGGAATTTAAAAATAAATTACTAAAAATTTAAAATTATTATAGAGACATTTAAAGTTAGATAAAAATGTTCTCCAAATAAGACGAGACGTAATTTAATAAACATAAGGACGTCTGAAATAAAGCTTAGTTTAGTGACTAAAAAATGACCACCCTCAGTGGTCCATTGGACATACATATATATCTGACTAATAGACGTCCAAGTATTGACGTCTTTTCTAAGTCAATTGACGTACTGATTAAGAATGACTTAATATGGACGTCTCGCAGACGTCTAATTGGTCAATTGTGCTACCTGGGTAAGGCCCAATGACGAAATGTAAAAGCAACTAGGAAAAACCCCAAAAGGAAATCACCCTGAAGGGATCCTTAAAACTTTTCGCGTCATGATTGCTTGGAAAGAACTTCAAATGACATCTCAAAATAGTTTGAAGTAGAGTTGATAACGTTATCTCATCCTTTAAATATATTTGATGTTCTACCTTCAATTACGTAGTGCTGTGAAAAAAGCGTAGAAAGGTAAGTATCATCCACCGATTTTTATCAAACTTATTAGCTACCTTGTAAGTTTAATTTGCAATATTTGTTACAGATGAATTTCATTTTTTTAATATGCCTCGCAGTGGCTTTATGCCAGGCTACAGGCGAAAAACTGCGTTTTGACAACCATACTTTGTATCGGTTAACTCCCAAAAGTCAGGAAATGGTTGATAATCTTCGATACTTGGAAGAAAATGCCTACGTCGCTGGATATACGTTTTTCACGTAAATACCAATACTTCTATTTTAAATCCTATGCCAAGCAATCATCATGTTTTAGTAAAAATCAGAACATATTTATTTCTTAAAATTTGTAATCTCCTCTTGAAAATTATATTCAATAATTTTCCCACTTGATATTAATCTTTTCCGAAACACGTCAAATTCGTCTTATCTGCAAATCCAATTTCTTGTGCAAATACGATGTAATTCGATGATGATCGATATAATTCGTTACTTATTCCAATAGGCTTTTTATATTTACTGTTCAATTTACCAAATTTGTTAATGCTGGTATTACGTACACTACGACCAACACTTCCTCAATTTATTGGCAAATTAATTCGACAATTTATTGAAGATCACGAGGCTGTGTCCTGTTTCACCCTTGGTGCATTCTTCTACTTTAGTGACTGCAGGAGTCTATATATTAATTCGAATTTGAAAGAGGGGTTTATGAACATTTTTTCTTTATTTTACTTATTATTGATTTATTTGCAAAAATCTTTCAAGGGACGTTTTTATGCTAAAGGAAATCCCGTATGTTCCAATACATCTTTCATTAGGTCTACAAATCATAAAAATACATTTTTTTTATAATTAAGTAACGAGTGACCAGGACGAACGCGTGTTTCCCTTTTCACTTCATTAACAGACCCAGTTTGCTGAAATTTCTTCATTAATTTTCTCACAGTGGCTTCAGGTGGAGCATTCCGATGGCCCATAATTGTAGGCATTTAGCGAACTGTGGATGCAAAACTTCCACCACTTTGATAATATTTTTTTACAATGAGAGTTCGTTGTTGTGTAATGAACCGCTCCATTTTACTTAATCGCCTACTGTCTACTAACAAACGACCTTATTTTAGTTGCAAATCATGACACTACACCCTTTATAATGTAGGTACATGTCTGCTATTTCCGATCAGAAGGTTCATTCCGCAATAAATTAAATGTTTCCTCAAATTATCACATTTTTATCTTTCAGTTTTGCGAAAACGCGCGTTGATGTTTGCCACGTAACTACCTCTAATAATTTGCTGTGTGACTGTGCTCTATGATTCTGGTTCGACTTCTTCTTCTTCTTCTTTTTCGGTTAGCTCCACAACCCCGGGTGGGTCTTGGCTGAGTGTACTACTTTCTTCCAGTATTCTCAATCTTCCATGATATCTGTATCGAAAAGAACGCTCATTTTCAGCAGGTCGTTTTGGATGTTCCCTCTCCATCGCATGCGGGGGCGGTCCAAAGGTCTCTTACCTGCTGGAGTCTCATCCCATATCAGTTTCACCAATCTCTCTTGGTGGAGTCTCTGTACGTGGCCGGCCCATCTCAGACGTTGAGATTTGATTTCCTGGACTTCGGCAATTCGATACTGAGTTGAATTGAGGTCGTAATAAGATCCGACGATTTTTCGTCGTCAGTATCTTGGGTTCGAAGCGTCTGAGTTTTTCTTCGTTCGCTTTAGTCATTGTCCACGAATTCACATCCATCCAATATAGTTATTGGTCTAATAAGATTCTTATATATTTTTACTTTGGTTATCCCTGTCAGGTTTTTTGACTTAAGGAGGTTGTTTAGGAAGTATAGACATCGATTTGTGGCTTGGATTATTCCTTTTATTTCTTCGGTGATATCATTATCTACTGTGATGGTTGCGCCTAAATATTTGAAACGTTTCATCTTTCACAGTTGCACGTGTTTATTGATACGTTTTGTGCTTATCTGTCTCTTCTTCCGAGTCGGTTTACACACATGTATTTAGTATTTTCTTCATTTTTTACTAAACCCATTTCGCTAGTTGTTCCTTCTATTTTATTGAATATTTCTTTCACCCTTAGAACAGTGTTACCGATCAGATCAATGTCATCTGCATAAGCCAGTATTAGTTTGAGGCCTTCAGTTGATAGGAGTTCGGTTTTTATGTCCGTCCGTCTTATGGCTCTTTCCAGAACGATGTTAAACAACAGGGGTGACAAGGCATATCCCTGTTTAAGTCTGTTTTGTATTTCGAACTGTTCAGATAGTTCGCTGCCTACTTTTACCTTGGATCTACCACCGTCCATACACACTTTTGTCGTCTGAATAAGTTTCCTTGGGATTTAAAGTTCTGCCATTGCGTTCCACACTTGGTTGCTTTCCACACTGTCATACTCTTGTTTAAAATCTATAAAAAGTTATGTATGTTCCTATTGAATTCCCATCCATTCTCTAGAAGTTGTCTCAAGGCGAAAAGTTGATCGATAGTTCATCTTTCTCTTCTAAAACCCGCTTGGTCTGCGAATGGTTGAATGCGAAATCCGTTGTCTGCAAATCGTGTTAATTTCTCCAACAGGATATTTCCAAAGACCTTATAGGCAGTAGTAGTAGTCTCCCTTTTTATGGATGGGAACTATTGTACTTTCTTGCCTTTTAGTCGGTAACTTTTCCTCTCTTCATATGCGCATTATTAGCTTATACATGATATAGTTCCGTTATGAAAGAATCCAAGCCCCTATTGTCGGAGCCAGGTGCTTTGCAGTTTTTTTAGCTTATTTATGGCTCTTAGTACTTCGGCGTAGCTTGGCTTTTCTACTGCTAAGCATTCTTTGTCAAACCATGGCTTTGTCTTTTTGGTTTTGGTCTTTCCAATAGTCTTGTCAGCCGTCTTTGTAATTGTCTGTTCCAGAGTGCTCCAGATATATTCAATGTCGGTTTGTTCTATATGTTGCTCCAGTTTCTCTTCTATTTCCTGCATGTACTTTCCTGCTTCTTCTTTAGTTTGGGATGGGATGATATTCTAGTTTTTAGTTTTTCTCTTAATAGGTATTGGTCTGTGTCCCCATCCACTCCTCTAAGGCTCCGTACATCCAATATACAATTTCCGTGTCGAGCATCCGCAACGATGGGATCGATTTGCTTCGGGTTAAGTGATCGTTTGATATCCACGTATGTTTGTAAACTTTCCGGTGCGAGAACATTATAGACTTTATCAGGATGTTATTTGCTGCCGCTAATTCTGTTAGTCTTTGTCCATTGTCGTTTGACATGTCGTGGAGACTGGCCGGCCAATAGTCGGTCATAGGTTGGGCTCCTTTCCTACTGTGGCATTAAAATCTCTTCGCTCTAACAGATCGTAAAAGTCGTCTTTGGTTGCTTCATCCTTTTCTTCCGTTGGAGCGTGTACCGATATAATCGAAATATTATACCACTGTTCCTTCAGTCTAATCCAACATAGTCTTTCATTGATTGGTTCAAAGGCCAATATATTCTCTAGAAGTTTTTTCTGACCACGAAGCCTGTATGATTCTGGTTCTCTAACTCTAATCCCGACTACGGGTTCCGAGACTTTCTGAGGACCGATTTCTAATGATTTGGATCTTTAAAACGAGCCGAACTTTTACAATAACCCGATTAACGGCACAGCCGCTTTGATTGCTTCCACGGTCCATGACGTCAGGGCCTTCGACGCGCTCAAATTGGTTTTTTAATCAAGATGGTCGACTGCTATATTGTACTTTTATTATCTTAAAAATCTTATTGATCTCAATACTTATATTAATAATGGGTCACTTTTTAGAATCCTTTCAACATATGTTTTCCTCCAAAGACCCTTTATTCTTTGACTCTCTTATACTATCATAATGCCTATTGGTTCCACCGACGACCTTTTGTCGGCATCCCGTTTCTCAATTCAGACTTATGGGTTTGTTTCGATTCGTTTGTTTTGCCTCAGGGTGCAAAAATCGCTAACATATGTAGGCAATTCCATTTATTATTTATTCCATTTATCTTTATATTGGCGTTCTGATCAGAATTAATTAAATGCGATATAAACATAAAAACCGTATTAATTTGTATTTACAAGTTATTAAACAATTTAAAATATTTTTTCTTGATTTTTCTCTGGCAAAGTCACATCAATAAAGACCGGATAAAAAAGCACAAAAAATGAAAGACAAGTGCCTAAAAAGGCATGAAAATATTTTAAACAAGCATAAAAAAATTAAAAAAGAATAAAAATATTTAAAAAGCACAAAATAAAAAAAGGGATTAAAAAAAAGGAACAAGATCATTGCAGATAACATATTGTTATTTTTATTTATTATTTTACATTTAACACGTTCTATTTATTTTCAATATACTTATTTACTCTTGGCAACGCTTAAAAGAAAATATAACCTTTATGTATTCCACTAACGGCAGCTGCTGTTTTTCCAAAAATTGAATGCTTTGACTTACAAATTTAAAATGAGTTTTGATAAAAGCCAAATTATGTGCAAGTTCAGGTACTTCTAAAACTTCATGACATTCTTGAATTGCTTTGCTTTCTGTACTTTGAAATTCTAGTATCAAGCTTTTAAATTCGTTATAATTTTGGCATAGTTCAAGGCAGCATCTAGCCAAGTTCCCCACCGTGTTAAAATAGGTTCTGGGGGTAAAGGAATATCAGGATATCTTCCCTTAAAAAGTTTCACTCTCACTGGAGCTTTTATAAATATTTTTTTGCCATTTTTTATTAATTGATCGACCAACAGAAACTACAATCTTACAGTTTCAGCTATGTGGTTAAAGCCATGTGCTAAGCAGGTACAATAAATTACATTATAGTAAAAATTTTTAAGATTTTATGCAACTTTAATCATGTGTGCTGCTGCGTCGGAAAGCATGAATACATTTTTTTCATTTGGAACCACCTCGGGCAAAAAAACTTGTTTAACTCTTCATGTACAGATCTAGAAATAGTATTACTCTTCGTTTTTGTTAATTCCTTCAAACTTATTAAAAATCCTTCTGTAACAATATCTTCATTCAAGACTCCTATAATCAAGTTGGCTATATATCTCCCACATGTGTCAGTTGTTTCATCTACAGTAAACCATATATAATCATTTGCGATAATTTTTTTTAATTTGCTGCACTGTTTCATCATAACCTGGGCTGACATAATTTTTACGAAGAGTACTCTCCTCTGGCATGCTTTGTAATTTAAACTACATTGTAATTTATTCAAATGAATGTCTGGGTTAACTATAGCACTGCACAAATCAAAATAAAATTGTTTTTGTTCATTAAAACGAGAATTTGAAGCTAGTGAAGTCAAAATAGTTTGTTGCTTATTTTGATTTTCCTCATATTTTTTAATGTGCGCCTTATGCCGTTCAGTTTGTAAATGCTGAGTTACGTCGTATTTTTTGGTACAAACAATCTGCAATGAAATAAGAAAATATGATCTACTCCTAATTTAAAATTTATTAAAACCTGTTTTTTTTATATTGTATCTTAAAGTCGTTTAACTAATGTCAAAAAGGAATAATGTTTTGTGCTATTTTTTTAATTATTTAAATATGCGGAAAAAAGTTAAAATAAGCACGAACGGGCAAAAAAGCATAAAAACTTAAAAAAAGCAAAAAAATTATAATTAAAGCTATCGCAATATACTTAGTTTGGAATAATTCGTTTAGAAATTAAATAATCTTATGGTTGCTTATAAAATTCAGCAATTAGCAAAATGCTTAAAATCCGGTTTTTACTTATCAAATCGTCAACATCAATCGGTCAAAGTAAATCACCTTCAATGACTTTAAGCTTAACCAATGGAGCGATCGCCCAAAATAAAGAAATAAAAACTAGTACTTAGTTTTAGGCGCAAGTTTATTTTTTTTATTTTTTTAAGGCGACGGCTTCTCGACTTTGTCACTTCTACATTTTCGAGAGTCGAAATTTGTCAGAATTTCACCTGTGTTTCTTTATGGCCTGTGGCAAAAAGTCGCAGTTTTCGATTAATTCGAATAAGAAATAATTGTTATGATTGTTTATGTTTCTATTTCTAGACACCGACATCAGTTTTTCTCTATCTGGTTTAGGATTAGGAGTTTCCATTTAATTCCGTTGTCCAAGTGGGTAATTTTGCCCACACTGCACAACGAATTTTAAACTTACATCTGGCATACTCTTTAACAGAAGTATTTCAATGCGAACCAGTTCAGTGCAAAGTCTCGTTGTTATGACTCGGAGCGCGTTCAAGCTTTATTTAAAAATACGGGAGTACAATATTTTCTCTCTTTGGTTTTCAATAGACATGTTTTGAGTCAATTTTGGATGATTTCGAACAAATCATGCATACTTGCACCGATACCTGTATTGTACGTCTGAGTAACTCAGTGCATTTTTAGGAGTTAGCGCAGTACCTCAGTGGACCGACGCAGTAACTCAGTTCCATTGCCGCGAAAGTGTTAATGATCTTTTTTCATTTGTTTTCAGATTTATTTTAAATGCCATTTATTGGCCAAATTATTTGGAATCTCGTCACATCAATTCTCTAAAGACTTTAGAGAATAATATTGTAGAGTTTTTTTTAAAAATGTAGTTTTCTAGTTTTGACTAATTTTTTTTGCTTTGTTTATTCTCAAAAACGCTTTAATGTATAGAGTTTCACTTAACAATCGAATTCGGGACGAGAATGAAAATAAATTCGTCCCGCTTTCCCCGAAAACCAAAAGTTTTAAATTCAATTTTCAAAACCCAAAAAACTAAAAGTTACCGACGCCAAAAAACTATTATTTTTTGATGATTTCCATTTTTTCTGCTATAATGGGGTTTTTTCAGCCAAAATTGATAAAATTAATTTTGCTAGAAAATTCGCCTCAGTCATAGGTTTGCAGCGAACTTTAGGAAACCTTTTTCAGCTTCGAACAAAAACCAAATAATTTTATTCAGTTATTTTGAGCTCTAAATATTTTATATATAAAAAGTTCCTTTAAAGTTTCGTTTAAGCAAATTTTTACCAAAAATTGCATTATTTTTTAGTTAAAATAATCTTCAGGTATTTTCTGTGAAATATTATCGAATTAAAAATTATCAATTAATCGCTTTGCAGAAATGTTTGGAAAACTTTTTGCAGCTTTGAATTATGGACAAAACCCTAATAATTAATTCTGGATATTTTCCCTAAAATATTACCTCAAACTGAAAAAGCGAAAGTTTATAATAATTTATTTGTAAAACTCTTGGAAACTGGGGTTTCCTAACTTTCAGGTCAATATTTCCAAACAACTGTCTAAACACAAAAACCGCGTTTTTCCTAACGTTTTACTGTAAAATATTGGCAAACTGAATCTATCACGCAAAAAAATTATCAGATTGATTTTACAAGAAAACTCGCGGATGTTCTTTGGACTCACAAAAAAAATGTTGATGATCTTCTTTTGTTCAAGTTTTTTTCATTCCAGTCTCGGGTCTGGTAAAGCTTTATATCGCATTTGTTCTCTCAACTCAGAGAGCGGCAACAACCCAATAGCGCAACTCAACACAGTGTTACCCAGACCTACGGCATGCATTGAACATCAGTTTCTAGTCGTTATTAGAATTATGGACCAGAATTAGTTTGAAATTAATACATTTTCGAAAATCGCACCGGCCTGCAATATTATTATGACGTGCCTTTTTAACATTATCTATGGGGAGAGAAACGGTAATGATGACAAGCTAATTTCAGTCATAATGAGAGAAGCGCTATATTTCTCATTAAAGCACTGAACATATTTTCTTAATAGTGCTAATATGAGTAATAATATACTAACTAATAATATATAATGTTGTTTACTACCTTTTTATTGAGTAAACGTTTCTTTTCAGTGGTACAATAGCAGAAAATGTTCCTGTCGATATTCTGGTTCCACCGAAAGAAGCAGAAACTTTTTCACGGTTTCTTGACGATGCGGACATAGAGAGCAGCATCTTAAATAAAAATATCCAAAACGCAATTGACGCTGAAGGATTTAGACCTGAGGCAAGAGCTGGAACTTTTGACTGGACAAGTTATCACACTTTTGATGAGGTAAAGTAGAAACCGATTCCTTATATTAAGGAAATGCTAATAAGAATTATATTCCTTATATTTGAAAATCATATCTTGCGTATCTCTCACCGATGTTTTAACAAAATGTTAGTAGTTTGAAAATGGATTTGCAAGTGTTACGTAATAACGTAAAAATAACATATATAATAAATATAAATAGAAAATCTTGAGGCTAAAAAAACATTAGAAAATATAAACAACTATTACAAAGTTTGCTATATCCAGAGACACATTACATTTTACATTTTACATCAACACCATGATGTGTCAATCTAAAAGTAACGTCGAGTGGTACCTTGTTGAAAAGGTCTTTTGACTTATGACACAATGATGATTTCATTTTTTTTTTAAGTTAATACAATGAATTTTAACAAACTAACAAAAATTATTTCCACGGATGATATGCTCAAACTGTGCACCACTAGCTTCCATACGTCAATACATGTTTTCTGCTAAATGAACGCAAAAACTGTGCAGCATGCGTGGAGGACCAGACGACATTGATCAACAATTCGTCAGGGTAATTTCTTTCTCGAGTCTTCGGTCCTGTTGTGCAGCTCTTGCATTTTAAAATGACGCCATAAAAAAAGACTAGAGACCACTGGCCACTTCATCGGACTTGTTTGCTCAATCCACTTTTTGAATACTGTCCCTTCAAAAACAACTTAGTACATCATGCATAAAGCTCGATTCATATTTACCAACACATGGCGTGCCCAAAACGTAACCGGATAGATACTACTTGCTACCAACGTATTCATACTTAGCGACCTGCAGAGGCACGGGCCAGCATCGGACATAATTAACGCCGAGAATATTTTTCCTGTTATTCCGGTTGAGTCATTGACATAACGCTGGCAACCTGAAATCTGATTCCAATGTTAAAAATCTATAGAGTGTCAGGAAACATATCGATGCAGACCATCGCATGATCCTATTAGAAATTGAGTCGGTTCAGCAAGACATCACACCTAAAAAGAGGAATCCCAGGAAAGGTGATTGGTCCCAATACCTCGGCCAGTCCATGGGTTCCTCTGTAGGTAACATAACGTCTAGAGGGGAGCAGTAACTCCAGATAAGAAGGCTAAATGATTGCATAACATCAGCCTTCCAGAAATCGTGTGACCTCAGGGCTGTTGGAACGTCTATGGTCCGGTGATAGAATAACACCCTTAGCGCCTGAGAGAAGAAGCTAGAAGGGCCTTTCACTGAGCCGCCAAGGGAAATCACGACGAAAAACAGAACCTCTCCCTCTAATCAAGGAGACACGTTAAGAAGCAATTGAGAAGATCTAAAAGAGCAAGCTGGCAGAATTCTGCGACGAGGTCGAAATGAATCTTCAGCACAGGAAAATCGCAAAACGATATAGGAATTCTTAAGAAGGAAGACAACACCTGGACGGAATCAAAAAGCAGACCCGACAGCTTTTCCTAGCGAAAGACTTCCCAGGAGACGGCCGGAGCGGGGACTCGAAGGTGCAGGTCTGTCCCGACGAATGGGACTGGACCACGGTCAAACGAGCAGTCAGTCATGACGCTATTATATGGGCGCTTTCGCAAATCTGTCCATTTAAAACCGCAGGTCGAGACGGGAAAGTTTCAAAAATGCTGCAGTCGGGCCTAGACTTATTTTTCCCGCTACTGGGAAATATCTTAACATTGGAAGTCCTCATCAGGACTCCGCTGCAGAGCAACCAGCATGCATACAGGAAAGGAAGATGCAGCTCTCCATGCTCTGGTGCAAAACTCTGAAGAGGTACTACAAGATAAGAAAGTGACATTGGTCCTTTTTTTCGACATGGAGGGGGCTTTTGACTAGCGCAGTACAAGCAATAACTGCAATGCTCTTAAATTAAAAGGAGCTCCCGGTTCAGTTATAAACTAGCTCCGGAGAGCGATATAAGCCGCACGGAGACGGGCTGAAGATTATTATGGCCGGGACAGCATCCACGCGCACGCCTATGCGGACGATAGCCTAGTCCTTATTAAGGGGATGTTTCTGGGCGTTGTCTGCGACCATATTAGAGCATTGTAATAGAGATATGGAGTACCGATGTGGGATTATCAGTTAATACTAGCAAAACGGAGGTCATGCTCTTTACAAGGAGAAGAAAAATGAAGGATTATAGGGATAAATGTTGTGCGTAGCGTTTCTTACCCTCGTGCAAGAGGTCAAGTACCTAGGCGTGACCCTAGACAGTAAACTCACGTGAAACCTCCACGTAGAGAAAGTGATACAAAAGGCTACTATGTGGCACCTGCGACGGGCGCTGGAGAAAAACTGGCGCCTAAAATGGTAAAAAAGGAGGTTTGTCTCACCTCAGATTACTATCAAAAATTATTCCTAGATATCTGCAATATACGGTAGTTTATTGTGTGCCTTTTATTATTACATTTGCTTGAGTAAGCACACTATCCTTATATACAGCTAACCAGCTGTCAAATCTCGATAAGCAACAATTTATAGTTTTTGAGCTTCGTTCCAAGAATTACCGGTAGCAACAATATAAACAATATCTGCATCAGACGATATTGCTTCAGCAGGGATTTTCCTTTAAGAAATCATTATTACAAGGTAATTCAAGGTGTTTTAGGAGTACAGAAATAATAGGAAATTAAATTCATTGTTATTAAAAAAAACTGAGAAATTTGCAAAATCTATATTAGAAAAACGGCAAAAATGTTTTTGAAAGTAATCTGCATAATTAACATTACGAAAATGCCTGTTGCTTCGTAATTATTTAAAATCCGGTAACCATGGATAAATAGAGAAAGTATAATAGTATCGGTAAACTCAACAGGAATCATTGAATGACGGACCCTATTTCGAACCTCATAACCTAGAATTATTAATTTGTTTACAAATTACAAAAACATGCATTTAAGTCCGTAGATCTAAACAACTGCCTGTGTAATCACCTTATTATGCACTGTTCTCGAGCAGCGTCTTGTATTCCGTTAATTAACTCCTGCTCAATTTATACCGGTGTTCAGTAATCCATTGGTTTAATGTAAATCTTACATACGTGCTAGGAATGTAGCCGGTATTTATTTGGTGTCTGGGAAAGTGCCAGTTGTTGTGCAATGTTCTGAGTGCCCCTGGAAGGCTCTGCTGCAATTACGTTCAATACTTGATCCTCTACGTCTGGAACCCGAGCATCTTAAGATCGTCCACTAACTGCGTCCATTTCTAGAGCCAATCGGTCAGTGTCTCTAGCCCTTTGCGGGTTCTTACAACTTCTGCTATGTTACTGTGGAATTTATCCATGACTAATCTCATATTCGCAAATTCAATGGTGTAAATTTTGTGAAAGGAGCTTGAAAGTATGCCACAGATTGACAAATGCTTGTCATTATTGACAAAGGCTGTCTACCTGTAACTATCTGTTAATGACAAAAAACATCATTGCCGCTTTGAATTTTCATAACGCAACTTTTTTAATATCCAAAAATTTCGTAATTTGAAGCAAAGATCGTAATTTTTCTTTTTGAATGCTTAAGTATTCCAATATGCTACCAATTAAACATGGAACACTTTCAAAATAATGCTTAATAATAAAGTTGAAATTCGATTTTCGACTGTTGATAACTTCTAGAAATTATCAAAAAAAAACTATTTTCCTCGTACCTTCCAAGTGAGCCCCTTTCACTCCGTAAAAGAAATGACGCCAATTTTGAATCAACCTGTATACAATATAAAGATAAGCGGACCCAATATTGTTCCCAGAGGAACACCCGTGTTTATTAGCATGTTTTCACTCTCAATAGTATTCAACCTTACTTTATGGTATCTATTACTAAGGTAACTAGTTATTAGATCCAGTGCTTGACCTCTAATGCCACTATAATATAAAATTTCATGGTCGACAGTATCGAAGGCCTTGGCCAAATCTAGAAAGATCACGAGGATTGGTTTGTTCTTATCCAAAGTACTATAAAGTCTATTTGACAGATAGTTTAAAGCATTTTTAGTTCCAATGTTTGCAATGAAACGAAACTGGCGCTCAGATATTACATTGTGCAAAATTTTTTGCAATATTGGACATCAATAAGATGGGCCTATCGTTATATAGATTGTGCTTTTCTCCTGACATACGTACAATCTCAGCGTTTTTAAGTGCATCAGGCCATATGGCTTTTTCGATACTCAGATTTAAAATGAGCGCTAGCAGTTCCGCAACACAATCATTGATAACTCTTATCGTTTTGGCCTTTATTTTATCAACACCACCATTTTTCAGTTTTAAATTATTTATGATATTTTTTATTTCACATTGATTTGTTGATTTTAGAAAAATGAAATTCGTATTCATGTTTGGCATATTTATCACAGATTGAGTGGTTTTTTTAATCTCAGCAATTTTTGACCTACTTCGCAGAAATACTTATTCATAGCACTGGCTACTTTCAATCTATCTGTAATCTTGCTATTGTCTACTTTAATATACTCTACAGGGTGTCCCGTAAGCATTTAATCAAAAGGGTACTGCGATATTTTTAGATCAAAAGAAGAGGATCTGACCTAACTTTTATTAACAAAAGTGGCTCCTCTGCTATTGAGTCAAAGTTAAAAAAAAAAAATTAAGTATCCGGGGAATGGTACGATGGATTTTGGTGAAACTCGCTGTGAATGTGTTCTTATGTAAGATTCAGTTTGATGAAACAATCGAGTTCAGCCGTTTTGGACAAGTGGTGAATTCTTGAGTGTCATGATACAAAAACTCTCAGTACTTTTTATTTGGTCTATTGAATCAACTCGTTTTTTTTTGGTTGATCACTAATCATTTTTTCACAATTTTGTGCTGTTTGTAAAATCTTGTAGCATTCATAGTTTTTACGCAAAAAAATATGTATGTTTTCTTCCCACTTAACAATGTTAGACATTAACAGCAAATATGCGCCGCGTGAACGCATAGGCTTTCTTCGCAAAACCCTAATACTTTGACCATGTCGATCACTTCTTGATTCTTTCTCACTTCTAGAATTACTTTATCTAAGACTCTAATTAATAATTAGAGCATAATTAATGTATTCAAGTCTGAGTTGAATATTTTTAAAATCCATTTGCCAAACATTGTACAAGAATTCCTTGGTTTCGTACCATTTAACAATAGCATCAATAATATTTTCCTACATTTATTTCTTCACATTATTTTTTTAGTTTTTGATTGTTCAATACAGCGTTTGATAATGTTAATCACTGGGTTAGTTGCTTCATTACGATCATGTACTGACATAATTGACTTCCAGTCTCTAGTATTTGTAATAATCCTCAATTTTTTATAGTCTAATATTACAGTGTGGTTATTGTGTCTAGTTTTGAGCTTATTTATTGATACAAAAATGGGGAAGTGGTCCGTTAAAAAATGCTTAAGCTTAAAAGCAACCGTACTGAGATGGTCCGCTTTAATGTAAATATTATCTATACATGATCCCTTACAATTACTCATAGTCGATCTGGTGACACCCACAAAACCAGGTATATATCCCTTGTCCAGAAAATTAGATAAGAATTCCTGACTCATTCCATTCAACCCAAGTAAGTCTATATTAAAGTCACTTATTACTAAATAATTTTTTAAGTCTTTACTTTTACCAATAAATTTGTTCAACTCTAAAATTAATTCAGACTTGGGTATTTCATGAGATCTTTACACAGCAGATATATCTATACTATATTATTAATATTATTGTTTAGTTTAACATTTATATTCCCAAACTTAATCGTTCCACACTCAACAATCTCACTCTCATGCTTAACACTCCCATCAACATAAACTACAACGCCATTTAGATTTAGTAGTAACTTTTATAGTCTTCCAATGCATACATTTTATAATTAACTTGTATAAAGGATTAAGTGCATACAACAAAAACAACAACAACAACAACAACAAAATCTCTACCGAAATTTACTTAGTTCAAGTTCAAGTGTCTAGACAAGTCTCATTCTTTTATCCTTTTAATAAGATTGTGTTATTTTTGCTTTTATTATAGATTAGCAACTGGGTTAGAAATCTTGCGTTTACTCACGCCGACAGACTGACTCTAATCAACGGTGGCACAACATTTCAAGGGCGCGAGATTATCGGAGTCAAGCTTTCGACTGGTCCGGAGAATAACAAACCTGCCGTTTTCATTGAAGCTAACATTCATGCTAGGGAATGGTAAGTAGTCAGAAAATGATTAATTTTTATAATTAGTAAGTTAAAAATTGCTTTAGTACACCATCGGTTTTTCGTCAAATCTACGTTAAAGTTCATGCAATAATGCTTTACTTGACTGAATTAACTGGAGGCCATTAATATTTGCCTCCCAAAAATATTTATTATCACAATCTTTCGTTTGATAGTTAATTCAACGTATTTTAAGTAAATACTGGTGTGAAGTATAAACCTACATATTTACTAAGCTAGCAGTCAACGTGAATTTCGTCACGATTAATCCACGTGCTTTTAACACCAAACCAGAGGCAAGTAGAGACGCGAAACTACACGTAAAAAGTTTGTGAAAAGTGAGAAAAGTGACCCTTTCTATCTTGTCCTTCAAACAGGAAACCTAGAAATCAGTAAACTATTGTTTTGTTATTCAATGCTATTGTTTATTGTGCAACAGAAACAGTCCCAATAAAGAGAGTCAATCAATGCACATGCAAACTAAACTTTTACTCGCCAATCTTTTTTTACCGCAAACCAATCTACAAATTTCTTATTTTTTCTTTTGAGGGCCCAGCGGCTACAGGATATAAATTTTCTCGAAGACACCCAGTGGTCCGAGTCCCAGGGTAGTATTAAATTATTTTTAACTAAAATCTCTCGTTTGGTGCTACTACGTTTCGCAAGTTATCCTTTGAAACGTGAGGTCCTTTCTAAGAATGCGTCCATGGCACCATACGTGCCATATGTCATTGCATTCCACTCTCTCCATACTGGCTGTTTGCTAGCATGGGCATCCTACTAAATCAAAAGCTATGAAGTCACTACGTCGCTATACTGTACAAACTTCCTGTCACTACCTATCCAGAAGAAAATCCCAGTAGTCAAACAGTTAAACAATAAAAATATTGAGAAAGCTGACAAGAACAAAAGTAGCCATTGCAGTAAACCATGCAACATAAACTCTGAAGCCATGAAAAAATCAGGATTGAGTTGTGCTACAGTTTCCATAGAGCTTTCCCCATTTTTTCCATTCCATACCCCTACATTTCCATACGTTGAAACATAGAACATTGAAATCAGTATTTTGGTTTTAAATGCTTTAAATATAACAATATGACATTGAAAGACCTATTTTTAGGACATTTTTTCAAGCCTAGTTTCTCGACTCTACTTATTTTTAACCAAATCACGTGAATGGACAACTACGAACGATATAGCTAGTCACTGTGTTTGCAATAATCCATATTACGATAAAAATTAGAGGCTGTGTAACTAATCAAACAAAGGAAATCAATATTTATATTAGCTATATATTAGGGTGGAAAATTACACCTGACTGCGGTAACATTTTGAGATTATTCGTTTTTTTATTGTCATTACTTAGGGTGTTGCCAAAAATCCATGACATATGCAAATACAGCTATCAAGAGCCTATTAGATGAGATCTAATAGGCTCAAAAGCGGTACTGGGGGTGCCTGAGGTTGGAGAACCTCGCAATTTGCACTATCTTGCTACCATAATTTCCTGTTTGGATCATTGATACCGAGGAAATTTTTGTCTTTATTAATATGACATCTATGGTTTTTTAATAGGACACCGTGTATCAATTGCGGGAATTGATTTTTCTGCAATTATGAGTCTTTTCAGTTTTAGGTTTATTGTGTTTGCTGTTAATAGTTTACCAGAAACAGACACTTAAATCACAAAACACAGTAAGATTTGGAGCAGCACTATACTAAAGCTGTAAACAAATTGAAAAATTGGACATGTCCGCGAATACCATTGACCTGGGGGTATAGAATGGGGGAAGGGCGACTCTTCTAAATAATGTATACAGTAGGGATGGGACATCGATCCTATAACATCGATGGTAGCCATCAATATTGACATCGAAAGGTAATATCGATGTTAAGGAAAGATCGGAGGCTGAAGAGCTATGATGGAACTGAAGAAGTTTGACAATATCGATGTTCTCGATGCGCTCGGCCGGTTTCAGTCATATTCGAAACTCTGTTTCAACCACTTAACCGCGGTTGATAGAAAACTGGAATATACGTTTTGTTGTAACTTATGCCTAGTTTCCAAATCTATGTTTGACATTTCAATCGGACAATCTCAAAGGCAAGCAGCCATCGGAGAAAAATTCGACAAAAATATTGAAACCGAAATTGTCCGAAAACTATTAATCGAACCGAGTACACACACAGTTTTTGAACACATGAAGTATATATAAATGAAATATAAATAAAGGTTTCACCGATCCAGCAAAACAGGTCCATCACCCGAGGAGAACCACCTGAAGATTGTAGTCAACTTGACCAGCAAAGAACTTACGGCCGACGAACAAAGCATGCTGACCAAGGAAGGAAACTTTGCCGTAGTACCGGCCAGGCTACCTGTGGAAGACATCATAGCAAATGTCGAGAGTGGAATACATTTGCTACCTATTCAAACCGCGGAGCAGATAAGAGCTGAGACATCATGAATTTTGCAACGCTGAAATCCTCCGAAGAGCAACTTCAGAGAAAGAAAGCCTTGAAAACGCTCAACGAGGATAAGGAGATTCTCATTTTACCAGCTGATAAGGGCAATGCAACTGTGCTCATGTCATCATTGAACTACGAGGACAAAATTAAAGAGCTGTTGACCCGTCAACGTACAAGAAGTTGGCATGGGATCCGACAGCACGGATACTAAGGACAACAAACAAATTAATTAAGGACATGACATTTCCGTCCTAGGAGTTGGCCAAACTCAGAAAATCAGAAGCACTCTCAGCAAGGCTCTACGGACTGCCCAAGATCCATAAATCGGATGTACCAAAGAGACCCATTGTGAGCGCCATTGGAAGTCCGACTTAAAATATTGCAAAATATCTAGCTAAAATATTACAGCCAAATATTGGAAAAACCGACAGCTTTATAAAAGACTCATCCCATTTTGTTCAGAGGTTGCACTTGTTGTCATTAGCTCCGGATAAATCCTTATGAGTTTTGATGTAGTTTCGTTGTTCACAAGGGTACCAGCAGGCACCACAAGCAGGCAATGAAACTTATTGAGAGAGAATTTCCACCAGGCATAGCCAAACTGTTCGAACACTGCTTAACCACAACCTACTTCCAGTGGAAAAACGAATTCTATGAACAGACGGATGGAGTAGCAATGGGCAGCCCCCTTAGTCCGGTGATAGCCAACTACTTTATGGAGAAATTTGAGATGAACGCTCTGGACACAGCCGCGAGGAAACCTAAGTGTTGGTTTCGATATGTTGATAACACTTTCGTTGTTTGGGGCCATGGGTTGGTTGAACTTAAAGACTTTCTGAGGTACCTTAACTCAATCAACCCAAAAATACAGTTCACTATGGAAGGGAGAATGATGAGCGCCTGCCATTTTTAGATGTCTTGGTTACCAGAAAAACCAACGGAAAGCTGGCCCACACGGTGTACAGAAAACTGACACATACCGACCGGTACCTGCACAGCGGATCAAACCATTATGCATTCAAAAGATAGGAGTTATTAAAACCTCCATCGAAAGAGCCTGAAGAATTTGCGAACCATATGAGTTAGGAAGATAATTGAATCACCCCCGCCACCTAGCCTTTGGTTGGAATGGATACAGCAAGAACGAGTTTAATAGAGCAATTCGACCAAGAAACAGTGAGGTCGTCCTGAGAAAACAGATACGCATGATGAGCGTAAGGGTTGGGCGTGCCTCCCATACATTCATGGAGTCACGGACAGGATCGGCAGGATACTGGGGTACAATCCAACCGACTTTGAGATCGGCCAAGGACAAACGGGATCCTTTATCAGCACCAGGAGTCTACAGAGTTCCATGCAGTTATGGCAGATCATATATCGGCACCACAAAACGTAGTGTAGATACTAGGACCACTGAGCATAAAAGAAGTTGCCGATTAAGACAAACAGAAAAATCAGCAGTAGCGGAGCAATCTCAAGGGTATTACCCGAGACTAACCAGAGAGACCATTGAGATCTTCAAACATGACAACAATTTTAACAGAAAAGAAGAAGTCACGGCCCTTAACCCAGATTGAAAACGCGTTTTGCGGCAAACAGCGTGTGCGCCAAAACCATTGAAGCGCCGCCCACTCTTCACGCATGAGCTCACACGGCCGGACCGCATAAATACGACAGGGGATCCAGTAGTTGAACCAGTACCTCCCACTAACACACCCAAACTAATACTCAACAACACCGAAATCCCACTTTCTAAATCTCTCAAATATCTTGGCGTTATCATCGATTCTAGACTAAACTTTGCTGAGCACATTAACAAAATAATCACCAAAAGAAGCCAAACAGCCGGCATCCTTTACCCTCTCTTAAACCAGAAAAGCAAGCTCACTCTGAAAAACCAAACTCTGCTCTACAAGCAAGTAATCAGGTAGCAAATATGCTATGCTGCCCCCATCATTAGCCAAACCTCCAAAAAAACCATAGGCAAACTCCAAATCTTCCAAAACAAAATCCTCCGCAGGATGACAA